TTGCAGGAGGATGAGAGAACTCACCAGAGCCAGAGCGCGGAGCGAGCAGGCAGAAGGACCGAAGACAATGCTGAGGGGAGCAGCGGGCGGCAAGAGAGGTCTGCGTGCCATGCGGGACCCTCCTCCAGTGGCCGGGGAACAGCTAAGTATCGAACTGGCACTGCAGAGGCTGCGGGCAGCTTCGCAACCCAGCGCTCAGCTGCTGCGCCACCGGGGAGGCCCGTGTTCAAACTTGATTAGTACAGTTTTTAAGCTCCATTGGTAAGAAAAATGAGGTTGTTTTCCAAGACCAAATTAAAAAATTCTATTGCTCATGAATTTTCATGCCCATCTTTTCTCTTTTGATTCTCTCATTACCTTCCTAGAGATAAACTTAGTCCCATGTTAGGGATGAGAAAACTTGGCCTGAAAACTTCAAAACTTGTACCAGGCATGGTACCTACAGGTAGTGGTCTGAGACTAGAACCCACATCTCTTGTCATGCACAATCCCCTCCAAGCAAACATGCAGTTCATCAGATCATCATATTTACTTAATGTGTGCTATGAATCAACATTGCATGATTCATCCTCATGGTGACCTTCCAGTTGTATTAGTTTAGTTAATAATTACATTATTAACTAAAATGGGGGTCAGAGAAGTTTACCCATAAAACCCTGCAAATTGAGTAAGTCCAAGACTCAATGTAACCTTGCCCAGAACAAAGAAAAGCAGCAATTTGATGGCTTCTTCACATAGTTCTATAGTCTAAAAGAACCTCACCTACTTATTTTGTATAAAAGAAATTCACATTCTTCGAACATCTATTTTATCCTTTGAGAATTAAACATCCCTCTTCTATGAGAGTCACACATATTTTAAAGATACAAAGCAACTAACCTTTATTTTTTTAAATGAGCAGTTGTGACTCAGTAAGATAGAGAATCACCATTGCATTAGTACAAGACCTTTTCTTCTATAGGATATAATAAAAATATAAACAGAAATAAAATTGAAAAATAATCCAAAAGATCAATGAAACCTAAAGTTGGTTCTTCAAAAAATAAAATAGACAAACCTCTATCAGGATAATGAAGAAAAATGAGAGAAAACACAAAAAATAGCATAATAATTGAAAGCAAGAAGGTAGAACAGACTCAGTAGAAATCAAAGGAATGATCAGAGGTTAATGTGAACAGTTATATGCAGACAAGTTCAACAATCTAGAAGAGATGGACAAATTCCTAGAATAATATAATCATCCAAAGCTAGATAAAGAGGAAATAGAACACCAAAACATAGCAATTACAAGCAGTGAAATTGAAACAGTACAAACCCTCCCCCAAAACAAAAGGCCAGGACCAGATCTGCTTCACAAATGAATTTTACATAATATTCAGAAATGAACGTTCTGAATGTGCCTATTCTACACACACTCTTTCTTTAAATTGAGAAAGGAGTATCACCAAGTATGTTTCATGAAGTCAACATTACACTAACACAAAAACAACACACAAAAAAGAAAACTACAGGCCAATCTTCCTAATGAACACTTAGACAAAAATTCTCAAACCCATCCTTGCCAACAGAATCCAACAATGCATCAAAAGGATGATACACCATGACCAAGTGGGATTTATTCCAGGGACACATGCATGGTACAAAATCCACAAATCAATTAATGTAATCGAACACAACAACAAAAAGAAAAAGAAAAACCATATGATCGTTATCAATACATTCTGAGAAAGCATTTGACAAAGTTCAACATCCATTTATAAGTAAAGCCCTCGAAAGATACAAGGAACATAGCTTAACATGACAAAAGCTATCTATGGCAAAGTCATAGCCAATATGATTCTCCATGGTGAAAAGCTAATAGCCTTTTCATGAAGATCAGGAACAATGGGCCTCCACTGGTGGAACAGCGGTTAAGTGCTGGGTTGTGAAGCTGCCCGCAGCCTCCACAGCACCAGTTCGATCCCCGGCCTCGGGGCGAGGGTCCCATATGGTGCACAGACCGCTCCTGCCGCCAGCTGCTCCCCTCAGCAGTGTACTTAATCAGTCTGCCTATTCTGCTCTCCACTCTGGCTCTGGTGAATTCTCTCACCCTCCCACGCTTCTGACAGTACCCAGTGCTTGTATAAATAAATAAATCTTTAAAAAAAAATCAGAAACAAGACAAAGGTGTCCACTCTCACCACTGCTGTTCAATATAACGCTGGACATACTTGTCAGAGCAATAAGACAAAAGTAAGACACAAGGAATTCAAATGGGGAAAGAAGAAGTAAAATTATCACTATATGCAGACAATATGATAATGAAGAATTCTAAAAACTCCACAAAAAAAACTAATTAAAATAATAAACCACTTTAGTAAAGTATCAGGATACAAAATCAACACACAAAAATCAGAAGCTGTCCTATATGCAAACAATCCATTAGAACAAAAAGAAATAAAGAAACCATCCAATTTAAAATTGAAACAAAAAATATCAAATACCTGGGAATAAACTTAATGAAGGAGGTGAAGGACCTATACAAAGAAAATTATAAAACATTGTTAAAGAAATAGAAGAAGACACAAAGAAATGGAGAGACATCCCTGCTCACGACTGGAAGAAGTAACATTACTAAAATGGCCATCCTAATGAAAGCAATATATAGAGTCAACGCAATGTTGATAAAAATCTCAGAACAAATATTGATGAAATTCACATGGAATCACAAACTTCAAACTATACTACAAAGCCATAATAATTCAAACAGTATGATACTGGAACAAAAACAGACTCACAGACCAATGGAGTCGAATAGAAAATGCAGAAATAAAGCCACACATATATGGACAACGAATCTTTGGGAGAGGAGCAAAGACTATGCACTGGAACAAGGACAGTTTGTTCAATAAATGGTGCTGGGAAAACTGGAGAACCACATGCAAAAATTTGAAACTAGACCACTACCTCTTATCATGCACAAAAATCAACCCAAAATGGTAAAAAAATTGAACATAAGACCTGAAACCACAAAATATAGAGAAAAAAATATAGGTAAAACACTACATGAATATATCTCAGTAACATCTTTAAAGACTTATCCCCCAAAGCAAAGAAAGTGAAGAAAAAGATGAACAGTTGGGAGTACATCAAACTAAAAAGCTCTGTACAACAAAAGAGACATTAACCAAAACAAAGTAACAGCCTACTGTTTGGGAGAAAATTTTGCACACAACACAACTGAAAAGGGACTGATCACAAAGATCTACAAAAAACTCACATGACTCACCAAAAACAAAGTAAACAATCCAGTCAAAAAAATGGGCAGAAGAGCCAAAAGGACACTTTCCCAAAGAGGAAATGCAAATGGCCAAGTATATGAAAAAAGTGTTCAACATCCCTTATAATAAGCAAAATACAGATCAAAAAAACAATGAGATACCGCCTTACACCAGTAAGAATGGTACATATTGGGCCTCCCCTGGTGGCACAGTGGTTGAGCCCTGGGCTGCGAGGCTGCCCGCAGCCTCTGCAGAGCCAGTTCGTTCCCCAGCAGCCGGCGAGGGAGGGTTCCACAAAAAAAAAAAAAAAAAAAAAAAAAATGGTACATATTAAAAAAACAGGAAACAATAAATGTTGGTGAGGATGTGGGAAAAAGGACCTTTCCTACACTGCTGGTGGTAATATTAACTGGTCCACCACTATGGAAAGCTGTGTGGAGGTTAAAAATGGAGCTACCATATGACCCAGCAATTCCACTCTTAGAAATCTACCCAAACAACACAAAAATATTAATTCAAAAGGATACCTCCACACCTATGTTTATTGCACCACTACCTATAATAGGAACGATATGGAAACCATCCAAATGCCCAAAAATAGATGACTGGATCACAAGGACATGGTATACATGCACGATGGAATACTATTCAGCAACGAAAAACCATAAACTCATGCCATTCGCAGCAACATGGATGGAGCTAGAAGGGATTATATTCAGTGAAATAATCAGAAGCAAAAAGAAAAATATAGGATGCTTTCGCATATAGGAAGGAATATAGGGGAACCAAAAATGGATCAGGGAAAAAAATAATAACAATAAATTTAAAAATTAGTAGGCAATAATAAATCAGACATTCTTCAGGGGAGGGGAAGGCAGAGGGAATAAAACAGAGAAGGGCAGGCACAAGGGACTATGGTGATGTTGCATGGGTGAATATAGGGACTACAATGAGAGAAGAAAGCAAACATTGTACAGACGAACAATGATGTAAACTATATATAAATAAATTATATATATAAAAATGTATTTACTAAAAAAAAAATTCTATTCTTCTAATCTCAGATTTCCCTCCCAGTTCAATGATATCTCATATCAAATAGCCATCCAATCCCTATCCTACGAACAAGAGGGCATTAAGCTTTCTGGTGTCACAGAGTAATGTAAACCTCACCTTGGCTAGACTTGTGATTTAAGGATTTTCTTTTTTTAATAGGTTTTTGAGTTTTTTTTAAGTTTTAGGGTCAAAGCAAAACTAAATATTAAGTACATGTTGCCATATGTCCCCTCCCCACCCACATGAAGTCTCTCCGACCATTAGGAACCTCACCTTCTGTTGTGTTCCATTTCTTACAACTGATGTAACAACACTGACCTTATATATAAAATGCATAGATTACATCAGTATTCCCTCAAGTGATGCACATTCTATGGATTATTTTTTTAAGATTTACTTTTTAAAACCTAAATAAGGGACCAGGAAAAAGAGTAATTGTAAGAAAGAAAAAATCAAAATGAACAAACAACTATGAACCAGAGATACACTATGGGGGCGGGGGGCGGGAGGAAATGGGTTAAAATAAGGGGTTGCAATTGTTGGGGAATATAAAAATAAAATTAAAAAGATTTATTTTTTATTTATAAAATAGCTGGGGTACAGGTCAGAAACGTGGGAGGGTGAGAGATAAAAAGAGGAGGACATGTATTTAACATAGTATCACAAGAATACATTCACCGTCCTAAAAATCGGTGCTGCATTACTCATCTCTTCTATCCCACCCCTGACAACAACTGATCAGTGGTTGAGACAAAACTACAGCTAATATCATACTAAAGCACCAACAACCAAGTAACGAATCATCAAGGCACAGAAAAATCCCAATACCCTGAACAAGCACCCCAGATCTTTACCTAGAATAACCATCCTCTGAATCAACACAGCTCGGGATTCTAGAACGACGGATTACTTTTGCCGCTTCTAGAACGCAATAGAAATAGACACTTTTGAATCGCTGATGTCATATTTTTCTTCACATGAAGCTGCTCCTGAATACAACTTCTCTCACTTGCAAATCCAAACCCCAAGTAATTCTAGGTCACACGCTGGTCTGCCCTCAAGCCTTTTGTCCTTGTCTGAGCAGGGCCTCCTTTTATAATATTTTCTTCCATTTGTTATCTGCATTACACACAAAGGAGGACAGCATGAGAAATGGTTCATCAGATTGTGAGTTTTATTTAGAACATATAGAGGAGAAATGTCTGTATTACATACACCAACCATCTCACTCTGTCCCACTGATGACACAGAACTAACTACTCAATACCAGATAAGTATTGGCATATGAGCTACCCAATACAATGTTACAGAGCAAGGAGAAGCTATACATATATTTGTACCATGGAACTTTGGAAATCCTACTTTGGAGATGGGATGTTCGTGCCTGGATCCTGACAGAATGGGGTGACAAGGAGAGGAGAGGTCGGCGACAACATTACCAGAAGGGGAAGGAAGAGAAAAGGAGATGACAGGGGCGTCAGCTGAATGGGACTTGTGGACATCACAGCAGAAGCCTGATGGTCTGTCCTTCCTCACAAAGGAATGAAGCAGATCTGGTAAGGAGGAGGCACAGAAACAAATCCATTGACAACTGCGGTGGTGTCAATGTCCTTGGGGTCAATAACAGACTTCAAGGTAAACTTCTGTAAGATGGTGGTCAGGAATAAAAACAGCTCCATGCGGGCCAGGCCCTCTCCTGCACATGCCCGTTTTCCTGAAAATAACAAGCACACAGAGGAGATGATCCTTGAACACTGTGTTTCTGGCCTCAGAAAGAGAATGTGCAATAACTATTTGATGAAAGCTGAGGTATGATGGAAGGCAGGATGGTTGGATAGATAGATGGACAAAGGGCGGACAGGAGTGCAATCCATCTAATGTTAATGAATAGGTATCCTCCTTTCAACAAATGTTTACTTATTATCATTACTGTGCCAAACACTTAAGTATTCTCACATTACAATCACCTGTTGAACAACTCAATTTTCCATCAATATTTTTCTAGAAACACATACTTTGTTTTGTTTTCTGCTGCATGGATCTGGTGTTCATGATCTTCCTCGTCTTCATAGTCTCAGTTCTCCACTCCAAGTAGACCTGCTCTTTAGCAATCTCCAACACACCGTGAAATTTCAGGTTTTATATTACAGTGCTGTTCCTTTGCACAAGATGCACTAATCTTATATTTTCAGATGCACTAATCTTATAATCTTATATTTTCTCGATCTAAATCAATTCTCAATTTGAAGAACTGGATTAATTCCCCAATTCTGCAGTGATCTGGCTCAATAAAAAAACTGCATCATGAGGAGGGAAAGTGCATGGACACAGGGATGTCCTGCTAATGGTCAAGAGCACCTGCACCAGCCTTGGAAGGTTTCTATGGAAGTTCCAAACAATCCTCACAAGGTATTTTGTCTTCAGATGCACAAAGAATACAAAAGATACACTACCTGCTGAAAAAGCCATGAAGTAGTCACTCTTCTTAAAGTTGCCACTCTCGTCCAGGAAGTGGCCAGGGTCAAACACCTCTGGGTTGGGGAATTCTTTGCTACTATGCAGCACAGAAGTCAGCGACGTCAATATGGTTGTGCCCTGGAAAAAATTATTTAAACTATGCCCACGAAAAGGTACAAATCAGTCAGTCAAATCTTACCATTTAAAGAAGAAAAAACCTAACCACGAAGGAAAGGACATTCTAAGTCAGAGAGAACAAGCAATAAATAAGAACCAGCATAACACCAGTGGCCTGATGCTGCTAAGTGGCATCTGTAGTATTGAGTACCCAGACCCTCAGTGCCAGACCTCTGAAGCCATCCTGCTCATCACATTTAGACCTGGGGGTATTTCCTTGCCAGTATCTTGATTTTATCATTTCAGTGTTTACTCATCTCATACATGGATTATGATCGCAAATGGAAATCTTTATCCAAGTTTGAAATGTTTGGAGTTGTAGACCTTTTGTAAATAGACAATCGAATTAAAAATAACTTATGTGATAATAAAGTAAGTACAGTAACAACTCATTGCTTTTTTATCATGGCCCCAGCGAGCTGTTTGTATTAATTCAAAAATATGGCATAGGACCTCCCTAGTGGCACAAGGGGTTAAGACGCAATCTATAAAGCTATCTGCAGCCACTGCAGCACAATTTCGATCACCAGCCAGGGAGCTACCCACATGGCGCTGCAGACCTCTCCTGACTTGCCCGCTGCTCCCCTCTGCACTGTCAATCTGCCTGTTCTGTTCCCCACTCTGTCTCTGGTGAATCCTCTCACCCCCCACATCTCTGGCCTGTACCCCAGTTTTGTATGAATAAATAAAACTTCAAAAAAATATATGGCATTGATTTCATCACAGATTGATCCCAGCCACAAACACAGAAAGGATGACAAAATTAGAAATATAGTCATTTTGAACAATTCTGTTAGGATCACTAATTTAATCGAGTGTGATCAAGGGATTCTAGTATTGGAGGAATGATTAGACAGCACGATACTCACATATTCCTAAAGCACCATAACACAGATTTTGATTAATGAATGTAAAATCCACAACCTTTGCCAAGGGAGAGATCTGACAAGTACCATGTTATCATGAGGGGAACATAGCATGGCCATAATGGAATAAGTGACTTCAGGTACCCTCAGCTGCCTCATTGGGTTTCAGTGGGCCATACAGAGCACTTATGTGCTTCTCTTGGCAAAATCATAATGGGAATCTAGTCTCTAGAAAACATAACTCTGAATTGAAAACCCAGAAATAAAGCCACACATATATGGTCAACTGATCTGTGACAAAGGAAAAGAGATTACGCAGTGCAAAAAGGAAAATCTTTTAAATAAATGGTGCTGGCAAAATTGGACCGCTAAATTCTAAAGAATGAAACTAGATTATTACCTCACAGCACACACAAAATTCAACTTAAAATGGGGCCTCCCTGAACATTTTGGCACACAACACTGATAAAGGACTTATCACCAAAATCTACAAAAAGCTGATGAAACTCAACAAAAACAAAATAATCCAGTCAAAAAATGGGCAGAAGAACTAAAAAGAAACTTCTCTGAAGAGGAAATGCAAATGGCCAACAGGCATATGAAAAAATGTTCAACATCACTTGTAATCAGGGAAACGCAAATCAAAACTACAATGAGATACCATCTTACACCAGTGAGAATGGCACATATTAAAAAAACTAGCAACAACAAATGTTGGCGAGGATGTGGAGAAAAAGGAACTCTCCTGCACTGTTGGTGGGAGTGCAAACTGGTCCAACCACTATGGAGAGCTGTGTGGAGATTTCTTGACCTAGTAAACATAGAGCTTCTATATGATCCAGCTATTCCACTCCTAGGTATTTACCCAAAGGACACAGAAACATCAATTCCAAAGAGCACCTGCACCCTTATGTTTATAGCAGCACTGTTTACAATAGCTAATCTTTGGAAACAACCCAAATGCCCCAAAATAGATGACTGGCTCAAGAAGATGTGGTACATATACACCATGGAATACTACTCAGCATTCAAAAAAGATAAACACATGCAATTTGCAGCAACATGGATGAAGCTGGAAGGGATCATGCTCAGCGAAATAAGCCAGAAAGAAAAAGAAAAATACTGGATGGTCTCACTCATAGCAGGAATCTAGAAAACTTAAATAAGGGAACAGGAAAATGAATAACTATAAGAAAGTGAAAATCAAAATCAACAAACAACTATGAACCAGAGACACTCTATGAGGGGTGGGGGTCGGGGAAAGGAGGATTTGGGGTCAAAATAAGGGGGCTGCAATTGTATGGGGAATATAAAAATAAAATTTAAAAAAAAATGATCCCACATTAAGACAATAAATAAATTTTTAAAAAAATAAACAAATAAATAAATAAAAGATGGGACCTCCCTGGTGGCGTAGAGGTTAAAGTTTCAGGACTATCAAGCTATTGCCAGCCACTGCAGTGTGAGCTTGATCCCCAGCCATGGAGCTAACCCACATCCTGCAGCAGACCTCTCCTGTCTCGGTCACTGCCCCCCTCAGCAGAGTATCTCAATAGATCTGCTTGCTCTCCTCCCTGATATGTCTCTACTGAATCTGCTTACTCACTGGCCTATGTCCCTGTTCTTACATGCATAAAAAAAAAGCTATAAAAAAAAAAAATCAACTCCACCTGGAGAAAAATGTATATGTGGCCTAGCAGTTAAGTCTCAGCGTTACCACCATGAAGGCCCATGGAGAGCGCCTGAGTTTGATCCCCAGCCAGGGAACTAATCCACATGGGGCAGCAGAAATCTCCTGTTTTACCCAGTCCTCCCCTTAGTAGATCTGCCTTTTTTGTTCCCTACGCTTTCTGTTGAATCCTCTCACCCTTCCCCCTGAACCTCTGGTCTACACCCCAGTTCTTCTACACATAATAAATATAATAAATAAAAATCTTACAATAAAGGAATGATTCTTTATAAAAAAGGCTTTAATGTAAGACCTGAAACCAGAAAATATATGGAATAAAACACATAGGCACAATACTCCACAACATACATCTCAGAAACATCTTTCAGAACTCATCCCAGAAGCACAGAAAATGAAGGAAAAGATAAACAGCTGGGACTACTACAAACTAAAAACTTCTGTACAGCAAAAGAGACAATATCAAAACAAAAAGACAATCCACAGATTGGTACAAAATATCTGTACTCCACACAATCGATAAAGGACTTAAATCAAAGATCTACAAAGAGCTTACAAAACTCAGGAAAAATAAACAACCCAGTTAAAAAATGTTGGCGCAAATGCAAGGAGAAAATGGAACACTCCTGCACTGCTGGTGGGGTGCAAAATGCTCCAACCACTATGGAAAGCTGTGTGGAGATTCCTCAGCCTGCTAAAGATGGCGCTTCCATATGATCCAGCAATTCCACTTGTAGGTACTTACCCAAAAGACACAGAATCATTCATTCAAAAGGGCACCTGCACCTCTATGTTTATTGCAGCACTATTTACAATAGCTAAGCTATGGAAACAACCCAAATGCCCTAAAATAGATAACTGGATCAAGAAGATGTGGTACATATACAAAATGGAATACAGCAATCAGAAAGATAAACTCATGCAATTTGCAGCAACATGGATGGAGCTAGAAGAGATCATGCTCAGTAAAATAAGTCAGAAAGAAAAAGAAAAATACGGGATGGTCTCACTCATAGCAGGAATTTAGAAAACCTAAATACGGGACCAGGAAAAAGACTAATTATAATAATGAAAAAAATCAAAATCGACAAGCAACTATAAACCAGAGACATACTATATGGGGGGAGGAGGGTGATAGGAGGTATTATGGTCAAAATAAGGTGGGCAGGAACTGTATGGGGACTATAAACAAGATGAAAATGCATATTGCGTACTGTGCAAAAATGAAAAAGATGTAAAAAATATATAAAATAAATAAAATAAAAATTGAGCTGTTTCTCATTAAAAAAAATAAATAAATAAAAATGGGCTTAGCAAATAAAAAGGCAATTCTCCAAAGAAGAAATGCAAATGGCCAAAAGATACATAAAAACATGCTCAACATTACTTATAATCAGGAAAATGCAAATCAAAACCACAATGAAATACCACCTCACACCAGTGACAAAGACCTATATTAAAAAAACTGGCAACAACAAATGCTGGCAAGGATGTGGAGAAAAGGAACCCTCTTACACTGCTGGCGCAAATGTAAACTGGTCCAACCACTATAGAAAACTGTGTGGAGGCTCCTCAAAGGACTGAAAATCAATCTACCATATGACCCAGAGATTCCACTGCTAGGAATCTAACCAAAGGACGCAAAAACATTAAACATTAACTGAAAAGGAACCCTGCATTCCTATGTTTATTGCAGCATTATTTATAATAGGTAAGATATGGAAACAACCTAAATGCCCCAAAACAGATTCCTGGATTAACAAGATGTGTGTATATATATACACAAAGGAATACTTTTCAGCAATCAAAAATGATAAACTCATGCCATTCACAGCAACATGGATGGCACAAGAAGGGATTATACTCAGTGAAATGAGTAAGAAGGAAAAAGAAAAATATCAGATGTTTTCAATTTACAGGAAGAATATAGGGAAACCAAACTAAGGGTCAAAAAAAAGAGAAAGGGAAAATTTGCAGGCAAACTATAGATGTAGGGATGCAGCAAGGGAGGGGGAGAGAGATGGCTCAGATAAGGGGAGGGGAGAGCACAAGGGACTGTAGTGATGGTTCATGGGTGGTGTGGTGGTGGGAGATTTATGGGGACTAGACCTGAGCTGAGAAATCAAATATAGTATGAAAATGAATAATGTAAGAATATAAAAATAGACGGTACAGGGCCTGCCTGGTGGCGCAAGGGGTTAAGCACCACACTAAGAAGCAACCTGCAGCCTCTGCAGCACGAATTCGATCCCCGGCCAGCCAGGGAGCAACCCACATGGCGAAGCAGACCTCTCCTGTCTCGCCCGCTGCTCCCCTCAGCAGTTTATTTCAGTTAGTCTGCCTGTTCTGTTCCCTGCTCTGTTTCTGGTGAATCCTCTCACACACACCCTCCCTCCCTGCATCTCTGGCCTGTACCCCAGCTCTTGTATGCATAAATAAATAAATCTTTTTTAAAAAAAGCGGCACAAAATAGAACAATGTAAGAAAATTTTTTTAAAAATTTTAAAAGCCAGCAAAATAACCATGGCAGATTAAAGATAGTTATACTCTCTTATCCAAAAAAAAAAAAAAAAAAAAAAAAAAAGACAGGGAGGAAGTGAGAGAAAATCGGTGTCCCTGCTATCTTTCCAGATCAAGGTCAACATATTTGTGGACAACACCAAATTTACTATCAACATATCAGCAATGAAAAATGTTTTTTGAGTGTACTTTATTTTAATTATGATAATAAACATAAAACTTACCACCTTAGCCATCTGTAAGTGTACAGTTCAGTAGTGTAAAATATGTCATTGTTGTGAAACACATCTCCAGAATTCTTTCATCTTGTAAAACAAATTCTATACCCATTAAATAAAAACACCTTTTCTCCCTCAAAAATAAAAAGATACAGCAAATATATTCTCATCAAATGTTGTTCAAACAATGGATATTCATACAGAATCATGACCACTGTTTCAACACTACTTTTACCAAAGTAAAAATTACTTGAACGGATCAGTACTAAACAAAGGAGGTAAAACGTTGATGGATTCCACGCTACAATGGCAGATCAGCACTGGTGTCAGAAGCTCCAAGCACCATAAAATTTAAAATGTTTACAGTATGGCCCACTAGAGAAAGTTTTTACCAACGTCTGTCTTAGACCATACCTTGGTCCATGGATCCAGGTTTGAGAGCAGAAATCATTATGTAATGATAGAAGGCACATTCAGCTGCGCAGTATTGCATATTCTATGTCAGTGTATCCCAAGCAGAGGGGAATGATCATTCCCAATCAGAGCAAATGGGAAAGATGGACAATCCTACTTACCCCCAGGCCCTATTATTATTGACCTTGAAATAGGAGAATGAGTTCAATGACTCTTTGACCCAACTATAAACACAGGAAGTATTTTCTTCATTATGTCCTTTGGTGAAAACAGTGAATGTGATCCTAATCCTTGAAACAAAGCTGCAATTATCAGGCAAGTCCCATGATCTCTTAGTAAAGCCATTAATTCTCTGTTCTCCAAAGACGAGCATTAGTCTTGCATCTTATTATATTCTTTCCTCAACAAAATACTAATGTTAATTTATCTCATTTTTAAATTTTATTATTTTTTTATATATTTTATTTTATTTTATTTTTTAAGATTTATTTATTTATACAAGCACGGGGTATAGTCAGAAGCACAGGAGGGTGAGAGAATTCACCAGAGCCAGAGCGGGAAACAGAACAGGCAGACTGACGAAATACACTGCTGAGGGGAGCAGTGGGCGGCAGAAGAGGTCTGCTGCACCATGTGGGACCCTCGCCCGGTGGCCAGAGACCGAACCTGCGCTGCATCGCAACCCAGCGCTCAACAGCTGCGCCACCGGGGAGGCCCTCATTTTAAATTTTAATAGTAAATATCCTGGCTTCAAATTAAATAGTAGTTTGCAGAATACCAAGTGGGAGGTGTGAATAGACACAGAAATTATGCATTAGAAAGCACTGGATGGAATAAGAACACACAGATCAATGGAAGAAAACTGAGAGTCCTGAAATACACCCCAACACATAAGGAGAATTAATCAAGACCAAGAAGTCAACAGTAAATGATAGAACAAGCAAAATCTCTTCAGTAAATAGTGCTGGGAACACTGGACAGCCCCATGCAAAATAATGAAAGTAGACCACCATCTCACAGAAGTCTCTTACAAATAGAAATAGGAAAGTCCTGAACAAAATGTAGCCACTCAAATCAAGCCGTGTGTATACTTAAAAGAGATATCTACCAGGAAAAGTGAGGCGAATATGGAAAGCCATACCAACAGAGACAGAAACTGATATTATAAACTTGATATACATTCTGACAAAAAATGATAAAAAATAAGAGGATACAGTTCCTAATATGATGAAGAGTATCTTCCAAGATATACAAAAGACAACCTTTCCAACAGTGAGATGATAAATTTCCACTCTCCTACATATCAGAAAGGAAATAAAGATAGCAGCATGATATATGCAGAAATTACAAAGTAGTCTAGGAACAAAGTATCAGTAATCACTCTAAAGTTAAAAGGTTTTTGGACCGCCCTGGTGGCGCAAGTGGTTAAGTGTCAGCACAATGAAGCAATCCGCAGCTACTGCAGCACGAGTTCTGCAGCATGAGTTTGATCCCTGTCCAGGGAGGTGACCTACATGGCACAGCAGACATCTCCTGTCTCACCTGCTGCTCCCCTCAGCAGTGTATTTCAGTCAATCCGCCTGTTCTGCTCCCCACCCTGTCACTGGTGAATCTTCTCACCCCCTGCACCTCTGGCCTGTACCCTAGTTCTTGTATGCATAAATAAACAAATCTTAACAAAATAAAAAGGTTGTCCGTGTAAGGTCATCAGAGTTTGAAAGTGATTTTACTTCACTATGACAGATAAAAGTAATGTAAAGGGACTTAAAGATTATTGTGACAAGGGCCTCCACAGTGGCGCAGCGGTTGAGTTCTGTGTTGCAAAGCTGCCCAAAACCTCTGCAGCACCGGTTCGATCCCCGGCTGCTCCCCGGCCACCGGAGGAGGGTCCCACATGGCGCGCAGAGCTCTCCTGCCGCCTGCTGCTCCCCTCAGCAGTGTACTTTGGTCCTTCTGCCTGCTCTGCTCCCCGCTCTGGCTCTAGTGAATTCTCTCACCCTCCCGCGCTTCTGACTGTACCCAGTGCTTGTATAAATAAATAAATAAATCTTTAAGGAAAAAAAAAAGATTATTGTGACAACAATAACATTAAGTATTTAGGAAAAATCAAAAACTAAATTTACAAGCCAATGTACTAAAATAAAGAGAATATTAAAGAAAAATTCAATAACTCTGAATTGATCTAATATAATCCAGAACTCCCTTTTGGAATATTGACTCAGTGGTGCTAACATTATTTGGTAATATAAATAGTAAGAGTAGCCACTCATTAAAGAGACAGAACAAATGTGAAAGACTTATAGTGCCGATGCCCAAAACTAACATCAAACTTCGTGGTCTCAAATGTAAACAACACAAAACTCATCAACTTGTCACATATATGATTTTTATATTTTGCTCAGCTTGTCTGGAGGACTGGACCCATGCTGTGAAAAGAGGAACTTCTGAGCAGAATCATGATGTCAGTAAAGATACAACCAACCTACCTTGGGGATGAGATAGTTCCTGAATCTGGTGTCACGGGTCACTGCATGGGGCAGGTTCACGGGGAGGAGGTCAATGTATCTCTGGACCTCATGCACCAAGGCTTCCATGTAGGGCATGTGGCTCTTGTCCTGCATGCTGGGGCTCCGGTGTCTGCCAATCACTCGTTCTATCTCCTCCTGCGCCTTAGCTGACAAAACACAAGTAAGACTGATGAGAAAAGAGAACACCTATTATATCAGTCCCCCGACATCATTATTAGCATCAATATGTACCAAGAAATACACCTAGACATAAAGAGGTAATTGCATCATATATATATATATATATGCCAACCAAGAATACTCTATACCGCAAAGCTCTCCTTCCACTATGAAGAAAGAATAAGGACTTTCCCAGACAAACAGGAACTCTGCAATTTCATTACGACTAAACCACCACTCCAAAAAATACTACAAGGAATCCTAAAGCCAGAACCTCAGAGGGATGAATAACAACGAAAGAAGGCCAAAAAAAAAAAAGTTATTAAAAGAATAAATAAATAAAATCAAAGGAAAGACAAACACAATGGCAAATACAGACGTTAACATATCAATATTAACTCTAAATGTAAATGGACTAAACTCTTCAATAAAAAGACACAGAGTCGCAGGCTGGATTAAGAAACAAAATCCAACCTTTTGCTGTCTCGAGGAAACACATTTAGCTACAAAAGATAAAAATAGACTCAAAGTTAAAAGATGGAAAACAATCCTACAAGCAAATGGACCAAAAAAGAAAGCAGGAACAGCTATACTTATATCAGATAAAACAGGTTTCAAACTCAAAAAGATAAAAAGAGACCCCAACAGTCACTACATTATGATCAAGGGGACAATACTTCAAGAAGAAATAACACTCATTAACATATATTCACCAAACAAAGGAGCACCAATATATATCAGACAACTATTGTCATCTCTGAAAACAGACATCAGAGAAAACACATATGTAGTAGGAGATTTCAACACACCACTATCAACAATGGATAGATCAACGAGACAAAAAATAAGTAAAGACACTAACGCTCTAAATAAGGATCTAGAGATCTTGGGCTTAGATCCAAGAAAAACGGAGTACACATTTTTCTCAAGTGCACATGGATCATTCTCCAGGATCGATCACATACTGGGACACAAGACAAACATCAACAGATACCCCAAGATTGAAATCATACCAACCATCTTTTCTGACCATGAAGGCATCAAACTAGAAATAAACCATAAAAAGAAGGCAAGGAACTCTCCTACCTCGTGGAGATTGAAAACCACACTACTGGAAGACCACTGGATTAATGAGGAGATCAAAGAAGAAATTAAAAAATTCTTTTTTTTTTTTTTATTAATAGAGGCATGTTTATTTATTTGTTTGTTTTGTTTATACATGCACTGGGTACAGTCAGAAGCACGGGAGGGTGAGAGAATTCACCAGAGCCAGAGCGGGGAGAAGGACCGAAGTACACTGCTGAGGGGAGCAGCGGGCTGCAGGAGAGGTCTGCGCGCCATGTGGGACCCTCCTCCGGTGGCCGGGGAGCAGCCGGGGATCGAACCGGCGCTACAGAGGCCGCGGGCCGCTTCGCAACCCAGTGCTCAACCGCTGTGCCACCAGGGAGGCCCTAAAAAATTCTTTGAGTTGAATGACAAGGAGGACACCAATTTCCTAAATGTATGGGATGCAGCAAAAGCAGTAATAAGAGGAAAATATATAGCAATAGAGGCTCACATCAAGAAACAAGAAAGAACTCAAAGAAACAACCTAATCTCAAAGCTCAAAGTTCTAGAAAAAGAAAAACAAAAAAACCCCAAAACCAGTAGGAGAAAAGAAATAATAAAAACCAAAGCAGAAATGAATAAAATTGAAACTAAAAAAACAATACAAAATATCAATGAAACCAAGAGCTGGTTCTTCAACAAAATCAATAAAATAGACAAACCTCTAGCCAGGCTCACAAAGGAAAAAGGGAGAAAGCACAAATACACAGGATCATAAATGAAAGAGGAGAAATCACAACGGACACAGCAGAAATCAAAAGAATAATCAGTAACTACTGTAAACAGTTATATGGAAACAATTTCAACAATCTAGAGGAGATGGACAAATTCCTACAACTCTACAATCACCCAAAGCTAGTAAGAAGAAATAGAACACCTAAACAGACCAATTACAAGCAGCAAAATGAAATGATAATCAAAAACCTCCCCCAAAACAAAAGCCCAGGACCTGATAGATTTACAAATGAATTCTACCAAACATTCAGAGACGGTTTAGTGCCTATTCTTCACAAACTCTTCCAAAAAATTGAGAAGGAAGGGACAATACCAAACACCTTCTCTGAAGCCAACATTACACTAATGCCAAAACTGAACAAGGACACACAAAAAAGGAAAACTACAGGCCAGTCTCCCAAATGAACACTGATGCAAAAATCCTCAATAAAATTTTAGCTACCAGAATCCAACAATGTATCCATAAGATAATTCACCACGACCAAGTAGGATTCATTCCAGGGACACAAGGATGGCTCAACATCTGAAAATCAATCAGTTATCCAACACATCAACAAAAAGAAATATAAAAACCATATGATAATATCAATAGATGCTGAGAAAGCTTTCAACAAAGTGCAACACCCATTCATGATAAAAGCCCTTGAAATTCTTGGGATACAAGGAACATACCTCAACATCATAAAGGCCATATATGACAAGCCAACAGCCAGTATCATTCTCAATGGTGAAAAGCTGAAAGCATTTCCATTAAGATCTGGAACAAGACAAGGATGCCCACTCTCACCACTGCTTTTCAATATAATACTGGAAGTCCTAGCCAGAGCAATGAGACAAGAGAAAGACAAACAAGGAATCCAAATAGGAAAAGAAGAAGTCAAACTATCTCTATTTGCAGATGATATGATAATATACTTAGAGAACCCCAAAAACGCCACAGAAAAACTATTTCAACTAATCAATCAGTTCAGTAAAGTGGCAGGATACAAAATCAACACGCAAATGTCAGTAGCCTTCCTATACACAAAAAACAAATCTGAAGAAGAAGAAATCAAAAAAACCATCCCTTTTATTATCAAAAAAAAAAATCAAATACTTGGGAATAAATCTAACAAAAGAGGTAAAGGACCTATACAAACAAAGCTATAAAACACTGTTAAAAGAAAAGAAGAAGACACAAAGAAATGGAAAGACATCCCCTGCTCATGGATTGGAAGAATAAACATTATAAAAATGGCCATCCTACCAAAAGCAATATACAGATTCAATGCTATTCCAATCAAAATTTCAATGTCATTCTTCAAAGAAATAGAACAATTGCTGATGAAATTTATATGGAATCACAAAAAACCCCAAATAGCCAAAGCTCTCCTGAAAAAAAAAAGAAGGAAATGGAGGCATCACACTCCCAGACTTCAAACTATACTACAAAGCCATAATCATCAAAACTGCATGGTATTGGAACAAGAACAGACATACAGACCAATGGAATTGAATAGAAAATCCAGAAATAAACCCACAGATTTATGGTCAACTAATCTTTGACAAAGGAGCAAAGACTATGCATTGGAGCAAAGAAAGTTTGTTCAATAAATGGTGCTGGGAAAACTGGGTCGCTACATGCAAAAGAATGAAGCTTGACTACTACCTCACACCATACACAAAAACCAACTAAAATGGATTAAAGAACTAGACATAAGACCTGAAACCATAAAATACATAGAAGGAAATATGGGCAAAACACTACGTGATATGCACATCAAAGACATCTTTACAGACTCATCACCCAAAGCAGTGATAGTGAAGGCAAAGATCAACAGCTGGGACTACATCAAACTAAAGAGCTTCTGCACAGCAAAAGAGACAATAACCAAAACAAAGAGAAACCCACCAACTGGGAGAACATTTTTGCACACAACACTAATGATAAAGGACTGACCACAAAAATCTACAAAGAGCTGATGAGACTCAACAACAATAAAGAAAATAATCCAATCAAAAAATGGGCAGAAGAGCTAAAAAGAAACTTCTCTGAAGAGGAAATGCAAATGGCCAACAGGCATATGAAAAAATGTTCAACATCACCTGTAATCAGGGAAATGCAAATCAAAACTACCATGAGATACCATCTTACACCAGTGAGAATGGCACATATTAAAAAAACTAGCAACAACAAATGTTGGCGAGGGTGTGGAGAAAAAGGAACTCTTCTGCACTGTTGGTGGGAGTGCAAACTGGTCCAACCACTATGGAGAGCTGTGTGGAGATTTCTGGACCTACTAAACATAGAACTTCCATATGATCCAGCAATTCCACTCCTAGGTATTTACCCAAAGGACACAGAAACATCAATACCAAAGAGCACTTGCACCCCTATGTTTATAGCAGCACTATTTACAATAGCTAAGCTTTGGAAACAACCCAAATGCCCAAAAATAGATGACTGGATCAAGAAGATGTGGTACATATATACCATGGAATATTACTCAGCATTCAAAAAAGATAAACACATGCAATTTGCAGCAACATGGAAGGCGCTGGAAGGGATCATGCTCAGTGAAATAAGCCAGAAAGAAAAAGAAAAATACCGGATGTTCTCACTCATAGCAGGAATCTAGAAAACTTAAATAAGGGACCAGGAAAATGAATAACTATAAGAAAGCGAAAATCAACAAAATCTAGGAACCAGAGACACTCTATAGGGGGTAGAGGGTGGGAGGGGAGGGAGGGGAGGGATTGGGGTCGAAATAAGGGGGTTGCAATTGTGCAACTGTATGGGGAATATAAAAATAAAATTTATTATTAAAAAAAATTATTAGAAACAATTAAGTGAATACAGCAAAGTGACATGTTACGAAATCAACATATAAAAACAATGGTCTTTTATATATAATTAATATGTAGCAAAAGAAACTAAGACAATAACTCCATTTATAATTGCTTCAAAAAGAATTAAACACCTCAGAATCACCCTGACAAAGGAGGTAAAAGACCAATACAATGCGAAGTAGAAAATGTCATTAAAGCACCTAGAGAACAACAAAAGGATATAGAAGGGTACCCCATGCTTATGGATGAGGAAAATCAATAGAATCAAAATGACTATCATGTCTAAAATGATTCACAAACTTAATGAAATCCCCATAAAAATACCAGCAATACTTCTCAAAGAAATGAAACAAAAAATAGTGAAATTTATATTGAACCATGAAAGGTCTAAAATTGCAAAAGTAACCCAAAGAATAAAGGAGAGAAATCTAGATATCACATTACCTGACTTAAAACTTTACTACAAAGCAACAGTATTAAAAACAAGATGTTACTGGTACAAAAACAGATACACAGACTGATGAGAGAGACTTGGAAGCCCAGAAATAAATCCATAGAGGTACAAGCATCAAATCTATGATAAAACTTTCATGACCATAAAACTGGGACAAGACAGTTTTTGAACAAATGGTGCTGAGAAAACTCGAAAGCCATATAAAAAAAATAAAGTTGCATTCATTACTCAACTTCACAAGAAAACCTCTATATGAATTAAATTTAGATATATAAGATATAAATTAAGACCTACAACAATGAAATACACACAAAAAAATAACACTGGTGATATGTTCCATCCTATCAACAGTAAAGATACCTCTGGTGACTTACTATCCATGGCAAGGGAATTAAAAACAACAATAAACAATTGAGATTACCTTATCAAAGAGCTTCAAGAAAATATAAGATGATTAAATAGACACCATCCTAAACAGGAGAAAATATTCACATAATATATAACTGATAAGGAATTAATATTCAAGATATATAAATTCAAAAATAAATTTATACAATTCAACAATCAAAAACAAATAATCCGGGCCTCCCCTGGTGGCTCAGCGGTTGAGCGCCGGGCTGTGAAGCTGCCCGCAGCCTCTGCAGCACCGGTTCGATCCCCGGCCGCAGCCGCGGGCGAGGGTCCCACATGGCGCACAGACCTCTCCTGCCGCCCGCTGCTCCCCTCAGCAGTGTATTTCATCACTCTGCCTGTTCTGCTCCCCACTCTGGCTCTGGTGAATTCTCTCACCCCCCGCACTTCTGACTGTACCCAGTGCTTGTATAAACAAATAAATAAATCTTTAAAAAAAAAAAAAAAACAAATAATCCAATTATAAATGGGCAGCAGATAAGAACACAATTCACCCAAGAGGTTACCCAGAGGCCAAAACATGCATGAAAAAAGGTTCATCATCAAGCCTAAAAAGAGAGATGCATATTAAAACTATTCAACACAATGAGATAGCAAGTCACATTTGTGAGAATGGCTCATGGTAAAAAGGTCCCCACAAACATACTGACGAGAATGGGGTGAAAAAGGAATGCTGTACACCAATAGTATACTATTATTGGTAGGAATGTGAACTGTTGCAATCATTATGGAAAGCAATATAGAATTACCTTAAAAATCTAAAAAGGAAATAATGCATAACTCAGCAATTCCACTCGGGTACATATACACAGAATATGACACCATCGAGAAAAAATCCTACATGTTCCACAATGTTCACAGCACATTACTTAAAATAGCAAGAACATGAAAGCAGCCTAAATGTCCACAGACAATTCAATCAAATAAATACACAACACAAAGCATCACATAGTCATAAGGATCATTATTTTGAAAGTTGCATGTTATAAACTGTTTTATAGTTGGAAATAGATATATACAAAAACACATATGCACATAAACATGTCTTAAATTTGATTTGTAAAATAAATGTCTATGAGTTCATAGCTCAAAAAAAGGAAAATAATTATGTCAAGAAATTACAGACACTGCAGGAAAAAAGGAATCAAACATCAAAATAACACAAGAGTTGAAAAATGAATTATATTGAATCTACATGAATCTATATTGTATGCATGTGTTCAACTTATAATAGGACTATTCATCCTACCATGTGCCAAATGCTACCAATTTTCTAGCAGTTTCTTCTGAAATTTATGCTCCATTTCTAAACAGGGACCTCTGTTTCTATTTCTTAACCTGTTTTTAGAAAGTATCTGATTTTCTGGAATGGGAGGTAAGAGTTTACATCTCCATACCCATCTCATACAAAATACACACACACACACACACACACACACACAAGCACATTCTCTTGCTCTCTCCCTTTATTCCTTTTCCACTAATATGTTCACACAATTTTGACTGTTAGAATATTCATTGTACCACCATTCTGAACATACAAACAATTCTTCCTATAAGATGATTATAATTATGTTTCATTTATGGTGTATATATATATTTTTTTAAAGATCATTTTTTTAAAGATTTATTTTTTTATTTATACAGGCACTGGGTACAGTCAGAAGCACGGGAGGGTGAGAGAATTCACCAGAGCCAGAGTGGGGAGCAGAGCAGGCAGAAGGACTGAAGCACACTGCTGAGGGGAGCAGCGGGCGGCAGGAGAGGTTTGCCCGCCATGTGGGACCCTCCTCCGGGGCCGGGGAGCAGCCGGGGATTGAACAAGCACTGCAGAGGCTGCGGGCAGCTTTGCAACCCAGCGCTCAACCGCTGCGCCACCAGGGAGGCCCTCTAGCAACCCGTTTGATATTCATTTTCTTTCACAATACATCCTGATTCCTGGAGCCAATTTTCCCTCTGACATGACTTCAGAAATTAGGATAGAAAAGGAAAAGAGGAAGAACATTTTTTTCAAATATACATTTCTGCTAACATCCTCTTTTAATTCATGCAAATTTGATAGTTATTTTTAAGCCTTATCCTTCACATATGACCCAATTATGTCATACATAAATCAAAATAACTTGCTATTTTTTTCTCCCTGGTTAAGCACTGCACTATGAAGCAATGTGCAGCCACTGCAGCACCAGTATGATCCTGGCCCACCAGGGAGATACCCACATGGTGCAGTAGACCTCTCTTGTCTCACCTGCTGCTCCCCTCAAAAGTATATTTCACTCACTCTGCCTGATCTGCTCCCCACTCTGACTCTGCGAATCCTCTCACCCCCTGCATCTCTGGCCTGTACCCCAGCTCTTGTGTGCATAAAATAATAAATAAATATTTAAAAAAAAAGATTCATTTTAATTTATTTATACATAGAAAAACTGGGGTGTAGGCCAGAGGAGCAGGGGGTGACAGGATCTACCAGAGACAGAGTGGGGAGCAGAACAGGCATCTATTGAAATACACTGCCGAGGGGAGCAGTGGGTGAGACAGGCCATGTGGGTTAGCTCCCTGGACAGGGATGGAACTCATGTCACCATAGTTGCTTACAGCTCGAGAGCACTGAGATGTTAACCCCCGGGCATTCAGGTAGGCTCTATGCACGTCATTCCTTTCCTGTTTCTACCAGCATCCCTGATAAGCAGTCCCAGGCAGATTCATACTGGCTCCCAGTATAAACACTGCCATAAACAAGCTCTCATGAAATGCAGTCACTGCATTTTCCTATTGTCCATGGTGTCTTCACTCCTCCTACTCAATCTCCTGTATTATTTCTTCATTAAACTTGGAAACATTAAGCTGGTCAGATAGATAAATAATGAAGCTTCTAAGAGAAAGAGGAGAGAATGCAGCACTTGCAAAGTCCTTCAGCAACTTCCCTGAAATTCACTCTGTCATACCTGTGACCTCTGGGTGTTTCAGCAGCAGAAGGAGAGCATATCTCAAGGTGGTGCTTGTAGTCTCTGTCCCAGCTCCAAACAAATCAAGTACAGTAATTGCCAAGGTTCCTAAAGTTAACTTCACTTCTTGAATATGCTCCTCCTAGGAATGATTTGATGAAATTACTTAGCAAATTAATTTGCCAAAATTACAGTTAATCCAAAGTAAGTCATATTATTATAAAATTCACCCCCAAAATAAATAGTAAGGCAAAAATAAACAGTTTTAGAAAAACTCCGATATGGTATAAAACACTGGAAATGAGTGGATTCAACCATCATTTTCCAATGCTCACCCCTAAGGCAAGCAAGATAAATTAAAATCTTCACTGGCTTTTTGGCAGAAATTACAACTTTATTCTAAACATAATGAAATTCAAGGAGCCAGCACAGTCAAAATAATTCTGAAAAATTCCAAAAAAGGACTCAGGTTTCTTAATTTCAAAAAAAAACTTCTATAAAGGTAGCATTTAAGACTACCAGAGGATGTACTAATGACATAGGAATGAAATACCTAGGAAATACCTTTCATCAACACAAAAAAGGGCCCTTACATTTTCAGTCAACTGATTATTGACAAGAGCGCCATGATGTCTCATGTGAGAAAAATAGTCTTTTCAACAAATGGTACAGGATTTGTGCTTACAGATATAAACCTCCAACACCATATCTGTGCCAATATTATCAGTTAACTTCTCTCTTCATTCCATCAGCTCTTACCCACCACACACCTCTGTACCTCTGCATATATCATTTACATATGTAAAATTCCCTACCCTGTCATTACTGGAAGTATATTAAGATTTATCTCCAATCAGCAGACATACAAGAAGTCCAGCCAGGCTGAGTCACTTCTTCCATTCTCTCATATACTGTATGCAAAGACCGTGCCCATCTTCATATCATGGCATGAGATTTTGCATTTTCTAAATTGTTTGTAATTGTTTCCATTTCACCTGAAGTGTCACTTTGACCCTCCCATGTAGATTATTAAGAACCTAAAGAACAAGATCAATGCATTCCACTTATTTAGAAAATTAATTTTACCCCTTCCATAATGCTCAGTGTAGAGGCACATACACAGTAGGTACTAAAGAGCTGGGAGGCATTAACTGCCTGACCACTGAAACATTCCAGGTAAATACAGAACAATTCCATGAACCACAACATGCACAAGCAATCAAATAACCCAACTGTCATTAATATTTTACCTGTTCCATTTTGATAAGGAAACAATCAATAAAGTCCCGAGGATTATTAGCATCTAGAGATGCTTTGTGTTCCACTGTTTTCTCCAAAATATAACTTTTTATATATGCAATATTTTTAAATAATTTGTTATGACTCCCTGGAAAAAAGTCAAGAAAAACAGGGAACATATTGCAGATCTAAAAGAGAAAATTAGAGTTTATTAAAAAACAAAATATTTCGTGAAGAATTATGCCATGTGCCAAGCCTAGGTTAGAGATTACTATAAATGTTAATGATCTGTCTTAAGGGAAAACTTTTATTTTATACATACTTAATTTTATCTGCAGATAGACATATTAGAGAGAAAAATTTCTGGCCAGAGAATCAAAATAATCATTTCCTATTATCACACATCATGTTGATAGTATAAAGGCATCTTTATATCAATTCTCTCATTGTTGACATCAACTCTGGAGATATAGGATGGCATAAATTAGTATAATTCAGACAACAGAGATTAACGGAGGTTGGGCAACCTGTTATAAAGCGGAGTACATCCAGCTATTTCTATATGTCTAGTTGCCTTAAACACAGAATGAGCACTTGAGGACTAGGAATCTGGGTTTTGGAGTATAGTAAACGAAACACGAAATAGGATCAATGGGATTGGACTCCAGTTCTGTATTCTGAGCATATGTTTTCTATCTATCTGTAATTGTCTAGGTCATCTTTCCCGCTCTCTGAGACTGAAGTCTAAGCAGGACTGTCCTGCTCACACATTCACTTCATAGCTTGGTGCATCCAGAGGTCAGGACTTTTTAGAGAAAAGAACCTAAACGATTTCTCTGGAAAACAAGATCTTGGCCTCACCTGCATCCATGGAGAGCTAAAAATCTTGATGTTTTCATTAAGTATTTCCATTATGTTTAAAAAAATTGGATCTTTATAATCAAAACGATTCTGGAAAATAATTGAGCAGATAATATTGCAGGGAGCACAAGCCAGAATATAAGTGGGATCACAAGGTGAACCTAAAAACCAAAAACAATTAAAAACATAATTTAAAAAATATATGTACTAATATTTATAAATACATGTGAACATGTGAACACACATACATATATACACATATATACACATACATATATACACATATAAGAAACACTGTTTTGAGATAACAGGTAAACATAATTTAAGAAAGTTAAAGCAATATCTAGCATATTAATTCCTCCAATAGCAATATATTCAAAATGTATAAAATTAACATATCAGGGGATGTAGATTAACACAGCTTCCATGGAACATAGTATAAGGTTTCTATTAAAAAAACAGATCTACCATATGATCTAGCATTGTATCTCCTAGGTATCTACCCGTAGAATGCAATAAAACTAATTTAAAGGGATATTATGCACTGCTATGTTCATTGAAGCAGTATTTATAGTAACCAAGACATAAAAACAACAGTGGTATCCAACAACAGAGCAATGGATAAAGAAGAGATGATGGAATACTATTCAGCTACAAAAAAAATGCTGAAATTCTGCAACAATATGGACAGAACTAAAGGGGACTGGGCTGCACAAAGTAAGTAGAAAGACAAATACTGGATGATTTCATTCACAGGAAATTTGAACTTATAGTGCTGCAGTCAGATAACAAAGAACAGAAGATCATAAGCACCTGATAAACAAACTAGTAGCTTCACTAATTATAAAAACATATGCACAGATGCAAAAAAAATTGCATCCACCGAAAGAAAAATGGTTTAGAGTTTCCAGAATCTCAAGACAGGATGAATGGTGAGGCTATTGCCTTTTACAGAATCAACCCATAGAGACTGACAGAAATGGCTATTTTCACATTTTTGGATCTCAACACAAAATTACAAAACATACAAGGAAGAAGAAAACATGGCTATTCCAAAGGAATAAAATCAATATCTAGAAAGTGATCCTATTGAAATGGAGTAAAAGCAATTGACTGAACAAAGAACTTTGTAAAGTGAGAAAATGACCTTCAAACTCAACAAATGATAAAAAAGAGAAATAATTATTGATGAGATTAGCACCAAGACACGCCTATGTGAATAAAACCTAGATGGCATTATTACTGGCCAGAACTTTAGCCCTGGGCTGGGGAAGTGAAGGTCATATGGGTGTGAGTTCTGACAATATAAACATATCCAAAGAAGTAAAAACACATGTCTCTTGTTCCCATCACAACACTTGGCTAGCAGCCTTGGTGAAATATGCTGCAATATGAAACACAGCTCTCTCACTCTTACAGAGAATGACTCAAACTAAACAGACCTCAGGAGAGAAAGAGATGAAATGACCTTGTATACGGACACTGTAATCATGAGTACACACACACACACCCCGACAACACACACAAGCATACATATACAAAGCTCCCTGACTCTGTGCTGCAAATTCTCCATCTCTGCACAAGAGTTAACAACCACTACTCCTCATGAAAGACTTTGCCACCCTGAAATGTTCCCAACTATGTCACTAGAGAATGTTAAGGTCACAGCTACAAAGCAGAGAATCACCCACCACTGGTTTTTCTCAACTCCTCCACAAGGCAGCAGGCTTCCTCTTGAACTCGGTCCTCAATGCTCCTCTTCCCCATGCCAAAATTCCGCAGGGTCATGAGGCAGAAGCGGCGAATCGTCTTCCATGTATTTCCATTGCTGAAAACGATTCCAACTAGTAGGAGACATATAAACTAGGATGGGTCCTAGTGTAAGAGGAAACTGACACTTGACATCCATGGGGTTGGACAAAGAACACTGAGATATTCAAGTCTCCATTTTCTGTCCTCCCCACTCCCATAAACAATGGTGTATATGTGCACACACACACCTACCATCTCCTTTATTAAGTTTTTCGACCACTGGGGAATAGCCTCTTCCAGCAAAGTCTTCTCCCATATCAATCAGTGCTTCCTTCACTGCTTCATATCCATGCAACACCACAGTGGGCTTCATGCCAAAATACAGAGTGAACACAGGGCCATAGGCTTTGGAGAGCTGGGAAAGAATATGCATATAATAACACAGAAAGTCACTATTTGATAATATAGTATGCCTAAATCAGAATTCTATTTTTATATCTGTTAGGCTGCCCCACATAGCCTGAAATATTTCTGAATTTAAGACATAAATATGAGTGATTGTATTATAACTGCCAGTTAAGGATGACCTGGGTGGCAGGAAATGGCCCAGTAATTGGTACACTGGTTACAAATATCCCCATATCAATACCCCACAGTTTCTTTGCCCCACTTACAAATAAGGAAACTGAGAGAAGACAATCTGAATTCATATCTAGCGTCTCACAGCCAGTAAATAGGAGATCCAAATTTGAACCTCTTAATTGTTCTCTAATCCTTGACTAACTTATCAATCCCTAGTTTTCACCTTTGGACCAAACCCAGCTGACTCCTTCAGGATCACATATAGAGTCCTCCTGTGGGATTCTGGATACAGTAGCCCTGTAATGAATACTAGAAATCTTAATTTAAAATTCAAATCTGGTAATTCTATGCCCAGCCCAGCTTGTCATCTGCTGGTATTACTATCACAGACAGAGTGGGCACCACAGAGGCATTGTCGAGGTGAAGACATCTCACGGAAGAACAATTTCTTCCACCCTGAAACACATCTGTCACGGAGATCAGACACCAGGTAAATGATGTTCCTACAGTTGGGTCCTGACTGATTACTTCCTTTCATTCACTCATGCTGATCCTGAGCCCAGAGCTATTGGCTGACATTGAACAAAATTTGCTTCTTCAGGGAGGTTATCGGAACAAAATACATGGTTTATATAAATATTAGATGACTTTCAGAATAAAATCTATAACCACAAAACACTTCCCTTACCATTTACCTTCAACCAAAATAAAAACAAATGGTAGTAAAACGAAGGGAAGCAACACTCCCATCTTTTGTCACTTTAATTATTTTGATCCTGCCACCCAAAAAGCTATTTTGTCTACTCATTCCACTATTTATAACAACAAAAGACTGGAAAAGGAAAGAGAAATACCAAAAATTAAAAGGAGAAATTTAACTTAAAATAACCTATTTTAACAGCATGCTACTGGGAAAATACTGTTCTTTTTAAAATTGGGGTAGTGAATGAGTAAATTGTCAAAGTTCAAGCTAATTTACTTACCCTTTCAAAGCCACAGGAGGGACATAAAACATACTTACGTTGTTTAAGGATTTGCTGATGTTCTTCACATCTAACTGCAGAATATTTCCAAAAATGGGTAGAGGTGTGGGGCCAGGCGGGAGTTTCCCTCTCTCGGAAGTCTGTTTCCAGAGAGAAAGGAGAAGCAAACAGGAGAGACAGAGCACCAGGACCACAACCAGATCCATCGAAGCTTTCTCCTCTTACTTTGAAAATGTGAGATTGAAATCTAAAACTTTTACAACACTCCCCACTAGGACAAGTGCCACTCTGAGATATAAAGAGACCAATGAGCTGCTCCCACTTTATATTCTACGTGGACTTTGGCCCAATGATAAAAAGAGAATAGTTTTCCTTAGTTCTATTTTCCTTCTGTCCAGTGAACACTCTGGAGATTCTAGTTTAACTGTACTGGAGTAAGGTACAGGTAGTGATAATTTAAGGGGGAAAAAAATGTGGTTCCAACGTGCAGCCAGGTTGACAACCACTCACATAAACAATTCGAATTTAAATTTCTGGATTCAAATCAATGACCAGTTGGGCATTTGTGACTTTTAGGGACCGTCTATTCTATGCCTTTTATAATTAAAATGAACTTGTAATGCTATATTAACATAGGACACTGTGTTGTTGAAAATGAGAGATCTTAAAAACTGTATGAACTTTATAGCTGCCTCTATATAAAAGTTAACATAACTCAAAACATCTTGGTAAACATTGAAACAGAGAGACCCTGTCACCTTGCCTCACAGCCACCAAGTCGCAGTCCACTTCCCCAGTCTACACTGGGCCTTCTGGGCTCCTGGAGCAGACGCGGAAGCCAAGGGCACGGGGCGGAGCTCCGCCCCCCGGGTGGGTGATCGTCACGTGACCGCGCAGTCCACTTTCCCAGTCTACACTGGGCCTTCTGGGCTCCTGGAGCAGACGCGGAAGCCAAGGGCACGGGGAGGAGCTCCGCCCCCCGGGTGGGTGATCGTCACGTGACCTCCCGCCTGCGAGCCGCGGGACTTCAGTACTTTGGCGCCTGGCGTGTGCCCAAGGGCATGGAGGCCTCTGTGGGACGCGGAGGGAGCCCTTGGTGGCGAGGGCTGCAGTAGTGCAATGGCCAGACTGTGGCTAAGGCCCCAAGGCAGATTCACAAAATCACAGAAACTGAATGACGCCTGGGTCATCCAGCAACACCTCTGGACCCAAGTGTGCAGGTAGGGCCGCTTCACCAGCTACAAAGTCAAGACAAATCTGCCTCTATTCCAGCTGAAAGAAGCTGTTAGATGTTTGAATGACTAAGTAAACTAGAGAAGCAACATTGTTTCCCTGCTACCGAGGAAAGCATTTTTGTGTCAACTTCCTTTTAGAGGAAGGTGATGGAATATCTAAATATATTCAACTTTATTGAAGGCAGTAGGGAGGGGCTAGAGCAATTAATAAACAAGGTCGTCGGTCATCCTGTGGCACAGAAAGAACCTTGTCTTCACGTTTTTGCAGGATATAAAATTAATTCGCCACCTAAAACATACCTGAATTTCAGCAAATGCCAAAAATAACTTTACTGTGACTACTAATGATGCATATGCACCAGGGAAGAAATTCTAACTTTAGCTGCCACACAAAAACTGTCATAACATATCTAGTTTATTATTATAAACTGTTTTGTTTCGGAAGTTGTCAAGAATTTAACTTCCTTTGGTGAAAATCCCTCATTCCAGCCTTTCTATATTTTCCTTGCCATTTTATTTTACTCCGCACTACAGCCTCCCAAACCTGTTACTCCATTATAATCTGCAGTGTTCTAAAGTTACTGACTTGGTCTTGTATACAGTTCTGTCATGTTTGTTTCTTAAATCTGATCAACTAGAACATTTTCCTTATCCGCTTTCTAATGTGATGCCAGCTGACTTAATTTGTGTACTTAACTACACCACAGGTTTACCATTTTCCATGTATAAATTACACAGGAGTGTACAAAGTATCTCCTCCATCAGATTTGTTAATAGCTTCTACATGAAAGATGAATGAGGAAAATCTTTATATTCAGTGTAACAAATCAATGTACTAATGTAAGATTTTCAAGTAAAAATCCATTTCTGAAAATTAGCTCAGTAAATTTACATGCCTTTCACATGAAATTCACCCTCGCCAAAACACTGCTAATTAGAGACATTATTTCATACATTTCAAATTGGAGAAAAGGTGATTTTGGGGGAAGAAGCTGCCTGTCCAGTGCCTTTATCACTCAGCTCAAATTGGTAAAACAGAAATGTCAATTGTGATGGGAGAGGCAGCTGTCCTGCCTGTGACTATGCTGGTGTTTTCCACAAATCTTTTCCCTTTGCAGCTTTCTGCTTGCTTATGTCTAAGCATCCCTTTATTTTTTTTTGTAACAAACCTTCCCTTCTGGATTAAAAAAAACATGATAGGTTTACTGTTAGGCACTTAACATCAGTGCATCAAGTAGTTTTAGCAAAACCAGACTAACCTCCCATATTACTCTGCATTTATACCCCCAGTGTTTACAAAATAACAGGCTTCACATTAAACATTTAGAGGCAGGGCTTAAGAACTTGTGACTTAGACCAGTCCCACTTGCCCCCAGTCATACTTGCTTTCTCTGGGGCTTTTTAAAATGTGGAAAATAATTAAATGAAGTATGCATAGCAAAAAAGGAAGATTAGAGACAGAATAAAAGGAATGGATTTAGCCAAGGATTGGAAACAGGGATTTCATGAACACACAGCAAGGAAACACATGTACAGATCTTCAGAGATGTTTAGTGGTCATGGGACTGAAAAATCAACAGAATGGAATACATTACTAATCACTAATGACAATGCTATACAAACAAGTTCTATAAGGATATATTTTGATTAACTGCAATTGAACAGTACAGTTATTTAACTACAGGTAAGGGAATTTTTTTTCAAGACTAAATTGGTTTTCTCATGAATTTTCACATTTATCTTATCTCTTGATTCTCTCAACTACCTCTGCTGAGATAAAATTATTCCCACCATTCCCACTTGGCCTGAAAAATCAGTACTTGGACAGAGGGCATAGTATCTGCAGAGAGTGGAGCTTAGACTAGAACCCACATCTCCTGACTCATGCACAATCCCCTCTAAGCAAAAATTCAGTCCACCCAAGTTACTGAATGTGTGCCATGAATCCACACTGCATGGTTCATCCTCATCTGTGTATCTCCAAAAACCTTTAGTTAATAATTATGTCACCAGTTGATTAAAATGGGGGTCAGAAAAGTTTACCCTTACAGATGTACTTTTGTGCTCTTTCAATTTGAGTTCACAATTCAGTGTAAACTTTACCAGGACAAAAAGACAGCCTTTTGCAGTCTAGTTGACGTAACTTTAAACTCAGAAAGAACCAAACCACCTGACTGGATGAAATAAACATCCCTAGAACAATGGTTTTATTGACATTTGCAAAGGCAGCAGAGGATTTTGGACTAAAGAGTGACAATTATCTGGTTGAACTGAAACAGTAACTCTGCTAGATTGAGGATAAACAGGAAGAAGGGTGAAGGCAGAAGGATATGCCAATAAAGGATGACAGTGATGTAGATATGTTGAGACTCATGAGATATATATATATAGAAAAGGAAGTTTAATTTCTTGTACAGTCAGATGTCAAATGTGAGCAAAGGGGAGGAGTCAAGAACACCAATACTTTTGTTCGTAACAACTGAAAAATGTAATTGCCATTTATTGAAACAAGAAAGATGCCAGAGAGGCTAAGTTGGACTGGAGAAAAAAGAAAATTCAGATTTGGGATAATTACCAGGCAATCACAGAAAAATGTCAAAGGCATTCCAAGAGAACCTTGGGCAGATCAGATTCTGACTGGAGACACCAATTTGTCATCACATAGATGGTATTTAAGGAAGGAGTTAAGACTATAATGGAAGTCCCAAGACATGCTAGGGACATTCTAAAGTCTAGGGATCAAAGACCTATGACATAAACAGGAAGGGAAACCAAAAGAGTGAGGAAAACAGAGCAAACGTGTTGCTAGAAATTTAGCAAAGAGAAGAAATCAATCAAGATTTAAACTGGAGGGCCTCCCTGGTGGCTCAGGGGCTAAAGTTATCAGGGCTATCAAGCTATCTACCAGCCACTGTGACGTGAGTTTCATCCCAGCCAGGGAGCTAACCCACAAGGTGCAGCAGACCTCTTCTGTCTCACCAGCTGCTCCCCTCAGCAGTGTATTTCAGTAGCTCCTCCTGTTCTGCTCCCTATTTGTGTCTGGTGAATCCTCTTACCACCCCGTACCTCTGGCCTACATCCCAGTTCTTGCACACATGAATGGGAAAAAAAACAAAAACCTCTATTTTCTTTCAGCCTTCTCTGTATCAACTCAATGTCCAGTGGAAATCTTTATATAACATATGTGTACAGCACTAGTGAGTGAAACCAAATCAGCATAATGTGGAATCTCAATGGCAGTGAATACTGTTGCTATTGTTTTACCCCAAGCCATTCTTTTTCTGAAAAATGATTTGGTGAAATCTTATAACAAATATTTATTCAGCAAACTATTTTATAGAAATAGACCTTAAAATCCAACAATTTCTTATTAAAACATCAGAAAACAGAATCCCAATCTCTCCCCCATCAAAAGCCTGCTCCATAGCTTAAGTACCAAAAGCCCATGATTGTATTGCTAAAAGGGGGATAAAGGCATTTATTAAACTTCCACAGGAAGAGTGATTAATTCTGGCAGTGGTTAAGTACACATCAGCTTGTACCTAAAGAGTACTACAGAGTCTGAAAAATTAACTGAAAACCTAGGCTTAATATGTCTTTGCTCTTAACAAGGCTCAGATAATTACTATCTATTAATTATGCAATGGTACTAGTTATATAATCTGATATAACCAAAAAAGGTAGACAATCTTAATTTCAACACCAACAAAGATATGTCATTAGATATAAACAATAATATTTTAAAGATATTCTTTAGCTCCAAATTAAAACAAACATTCAGGACTGGAATCTTCAGAATTTGCTAGTATCTTGAAAATCCCATTCTTCTCTTTAATTGGTCTGGAGGCATTCATTTGATCTAAGAGAAAAATATCAAAAGAGGTACAGTATTTATTTTTTTAAAAGTAAAAGACCCTAATAAATCTTAAGATATCCAATGTTAGAAACATGAATCACTGTTTAAAATTTTAAAACCCCACCAAAATATGGGCCATTTTATCCTTAATTATTAAGTAATATAATAAGAACAGAAATGTACACTGATCTCATTACAATTAGAATTGGCATCCAGGGAACGCAATCTGAAACAAATTAGCTAGGTCAATCATGGTTAATTTAAAAGATGCAAAGCAAGACACCATAAAAATTCATATGTACTCCCATTGTCAATATGTGGTCTTTTACATTTTTTGTCAATGTGAATTAAACCTTTAATTTGCATTACTCTGATTTCTAGGGAGGTTGGATCATCTTTGTATATTCACTGGCCTTTTTTTTTTTAAACAGAAAACATTAATAAAATAAACAGTAAGTTTATCTTATTTAATAAGCTAATCCAATGCCTTGATTAATCTGACTTTGTCTTAATACCTAGTATGGACTATTTTGTTGCTCTTCAAAATTACCCTGGCCCTTAGCCCTTTAATCAGACATATATGTTTTTAACTTAAATTATAACCTTAATTTAAACAAAACTAGTTTATTTTTTTATTCATGCATACAAGAACCGGGATACAGGCTAGATGTGCAGGAAGGTAAGAGGATTCACCAGCGACAGAGCGAGGAACAGAACAGGCAGACTGAAATACACTGCTGAAGAAAGCAGCGGGAGAAATACGAGAGGTCTGCCACACCATGTGGGCATCTCCCTGGCCGGTCAGGATCGAACCCAGGCTACAGAGGCTGCAGACAGCTTCACAG